CTTTCCAATGATGTGCATATTGCCGGGGTCGGTCGCGAAATTAGGGGCAATACTTAGAAAGGGCCTCTTTGGGGCCCTCTTTGGGCCCCTTCCTTTGGATTCCCCGGTAGGTTTCTTCAGCCAGATTGAAGAGGGGGCCCAGGAGAGTGTCTGTGCAAATTTTGAAGAAAATCGTAGGGGCCGCCCCATTGGGCCCCAAATTTCAATTGGGTCCCGTGGGCCCCAGGTGGGCCCCATCAAAAATGTTACTTGGGTTTTTTGTTTGGGAAATTACGCTCTTTCCAATGATGTGCATATTGCCGGGGTTGGTCGCGAAATTAGGGGCAATACTTAGAAAGGGCCTCTTTGGGGCCCTCTTTGGGCCCCTTCCTTTGGATTCCCCGGTAGGTTTCTTCAGCCAGATTGAAGAGGGGGCCCAGGAGAGTGTCTGTGCAAATTTTGAAGAAAATCGTAGGGGCCGCCCCATTGGGCCCCAAATTTCAATTGGGTCCCGTGGGCCCCAGGTGGGCCCCATCGAAAAATGTTACTTGGGTTTTTGTTTGGGAAATTACGCTCTTTCCAATGATGTGCATATTGCTGGATTTTGTCGATGTTATAGGCCTGAAATTGTTGAAAACGTTTATTTATGCCCCGAGGGCATACTCCCGGGCCCATAATTTGAAGCTGTTTTGTTCGGTTCAGGGGGGCGCTAGCCCCCTAAATTTGGTACCGTTGCACGTAAAATTTTGTCCTCTTTCGAATGACGTGCATTTTTAGCTGTTTTGACGGCTAGAAGTAGGGTTTCCAAAGTTCGTCGATTGTGCCCTGAGGGCATACTGTTTTTTGGGATTGTGGCCCCCCTGATGGATTCCCGCATTTTGGCACTAGGATTTTCGATAGAGGACACCATTCTGCACCTCTCCACCAAATTCAGCGAAATCGTAGGGGCCGTCGATCCCTGCTGAATCCCTGCTGAACCCCTGCTGAATCCCTGCTAACTTCCGTTACATCTCAAAAAATAAGTCTGAAGTAAAATAAACTCGGCAGGAAAGTGGGCACTGTTCTGATTATAAACAAGTCTGTCATCAGCTATACGGCTTTGGTCACATGCGAAAAACATGAAGATTACAGCAGAGAGTGGCTGTAGTCTGTAGGTGTAAAAAATGCGCGATAGAGGACGACAAATAATGGGTGGGACTAAATGCTTACTTCGAAATCTAAACTACGTTGCGGCATTGGCGGTTATGTGCGGCGTGTATGCCGCATGATTAGTAAGCGGCGACCACTAAATTAAAGACTCAAACGCTCCGACCGGTTCTCAATGAATAACACTGCATACCAAAAATGCCAACCGCTCTCGTCATAAGATATTCAGCTTTAAATAACTAGGTTATCTACATCATCATTTTGAACCAAATTAATACTTTCAACTTAACTCACTCATTCCTTCCTTTGTTGTCTCCAAACAGTCTTTCGATTGTCTGGAAATCGTATGCTAAATCCCGTACCTGTATGCGACTGGTGCATATAAAGGCCGATAAAAGAATTTGAATAGGCTCTGGCATGCGATTTCCTGGCTACCCAAAAAAGTCTGTTTCAGTCTTGCTATCAAAAGACCTCGCCCGCACAGGGGGGGGGGGTTGATGCAACCCCTCTAAGGTTTTTCGCGAATAACTCGCTTAAAAAGCGGCTGATCGCGACGAAACTTTCAGTACCCTCGCATTGATCAATTTAACACACATCCTGAAAATTTCATGACCCTGACCCAAATGACCTTTGACCTGTGACCTACTTTTCGAGACCATGTTTGGCCGGAACCGCGATTCAGCGTATGTCGGCTCGCATTAGCAGCGCGTTTGCAGTCTTTTCGTGGTTTCAAGCGTTCAAACATGTGATATGATGTTGCCCCCATGCATTAGGGTGGGTGTCAAGGTCACCTGAAGGTCAGGTCAGGTCATTGACCTTTGGTGACCTCGGTTCACTTTTCCGAGTTTGACATGTTTCTAGGTCAGTTTTTTTCGAGCTGAATTCGAATTAAGCAACCACATGAACGTTTACAAAGTAGTTTTGGTGCCTTCGTAACATGTACGAGGCTGTCAGAGGCGGTTGACACCTACTACAAATACCTGGCAGGACCTCCACTGGTTGACCTGACCTGACCTAACCCGACCTGGCCTAAATGAATGAAGACATCATCTGTGATCAAAACTAGCATGATATTCGTGATCAGCACCCCGAAAAACCCCATAGCAGCCACACTACGACGTTCTAACAGGTCCCAATTTTCCCGCCTTTTGGGTCATTGACCTGACCTGGAAGGTCAACCGATGACCTAGGACCTTAAAATTGGGTATCATCGGCTTTCTCTCGTCACGGGCAACACGCTCGTTTTTTCCGCGAAGCTCTAGCTTGATCAGGAGCGAAACGGCAAGGGGTTATACCTTATACGTTCGCGGCTGAGTATTAATTTGGTTCAAAGCAATGATGTAGATAAGTTAGTTATTTAAATCTAAATATCCTATGACGAGAGCGATGGACATTTTTGGTATGCAGTGTTATCCATTGAAAACAGGTCAAAGCTATTAAATTTTTAATTTAGTGGTCGCCGCTTACTAATCATGCGGCATACACGCCGCACATAACCGCCAATGCCGCAACGCAGCTTAGATTTCGAAGTAAGCATTTAGTCTCACCCCAAATAATAGAGAAGGCTCCCGGTCACTGATCAATTCGGAAGCTAAAGTACTCAAGATTACTGAGAAAAGCTACAACACTGATTTATGAATACGTATTTGTAACACATTTGCTCCCATTTTCGATCATGCTTATTGACTAATGGATTTGTGCGCACGATAAGTATCAGGCGAACACGGACGTTCGACATTTATTACCGTTTATGGCACACTTGAAATACCAAGGAAATTAGCGGTGAAATATGGTCAGGTTCTGATCAATAGGTACCTAAATACACTTCTGTTTTACACCTGACTTGCTATTTGGTTTTGAATATGGTAGCGCGATGTCTCGTAAACTGTTTAAAAAAAGACGATGAATTAAAAAAGTTAAAGATGTACCTAAATTACTAGAGCAAAGGGTGTATGCGGAAAACGGCCTGATTGCAATTAGGTACTGATTTTGGTAAGAGTGATTAGGTATGTTAAGTTACAGTTGACTAAAAGTGGCAAAATAAGCCAGTGAGCCAGTGGAAATCGAGGAGAATTAGGCAAAAGAACTCTCCATTAGTTGACAGATACCAGGTTCTGCCAATTAAAAAAAAATGTTTTAGCAGTTTGTTAACTTTCAAGCACGCATGCCATTTCTCGTCAAGAAGTCCAGGAGCCGAGGTAGAAGAGACTAATCCCTCCTTATTCAGCACGACGACGGCTCACAAGGACCTTGCCGTGTCGCGCGCGGAAGATTGTTGCAGCCCCCCCCCCCAACCGTATAATAAACGGTTGGATATACAATAAACGGTTGGACGCAGACAATAAACGGTTGGACGCAGACGGGGATCGTTTACACGTTACTGTGTTTTATCGGGTCCAACCGTAGGAGTTGCAGCCGTTATAAGGGTTAATTTTCCTGCAGAGGTATAATTTTGTTGTAAAAGTTCCATATTTAAGTCGAAACATTTCACCAATGACTTTTTTGAAATGTTCAACATGCCGAGTTCCAAGGCTCAGTGCTGCGAGGCCAGCATCCCTCTCTGGAGCGAAACGCAGGTGCAGCGGCGGCGCGCTAAGCCGTTGAGCACGATCGGTATACGTTTTTATCGTGTCACTCCAGCTCTGAGAGCTGCTGTGCGCGGACGTCCATTAGTTTCCAGGGCTGGACATTCTGACCCGTCTCAGAGCCGGAGAAGTGACCGTCTCTGGAACCTAGAGGTCCAGCAATTATCACAGCCCGATCAGTCGGCCGTTTCGGCACTATAATGTTCTGAGCGCTGATGGCGCTGCATAACTCAGATGATCGACAGACATGAACGGTTATTAATTAATTAGCTCGACTAAACGTTCCAACAAACCTGCTAAGTGCATAGTCATGGCCATGGGACGTCTTCGGATGCAGCGTAAATCGTAACCAACAATGTAGATGGATATAATACCTAAATGTTAGATGAGCCGTTTACATCCTTTATTGGTGGAACTGTATGACAAGGATCAGGTTTTAGTGTGTTAACGTTTCACTCGTGCATGGCACGGAGGTCAAAGTCCATCAAACCAAAACGTCACCGTCTTAAGACGGTCCAAATAGCACATTCACATCATGAACCGTTTATTCTTCTGTCTCTTCTGTCGGATCTAGTAGCAGTAGCGGCGGAACACCTTCAATTAAGGGGGGGGGCACTGACGACTTTTGGTCCCATTCTTTCCATCCAACGCCCATAGGGCTAATGTTAAAATGCCAAAATCAAAGGGTGGCACGGTGCCCTCCCCGTTCCGTTCCGCCGCCTATGTCTAGTAGGTCTTACCTGCTGAAAGTTGAAACGCACTGTCTTAGTTCGCACACCACCTCACTCTAAGGCACGTGACCACTGCCTGCGCGAACCCCCCACGCTGTCCGGGAAGCACTGGCGGCCGGCGCGAGTTTACGTTACCGGCTGCGGTCGTCAGGGACCGGTCGCCCGGGGCGGCAGGAATCAGCCGCCTATCGCCGCCTGACCTCTGGCGGCGGAAAGGTGAACTGCTGCTCTTGGTAGTTACCGGCAGACTGCATTCATGGCTCAAGTGCGTGGAATACGAGTATGGGCCTCGTGAACCGCGAAAATTCCTTTTCAATCTTCACTACCTTTCTTAGGTCGTAAGTTGAATTATTTTGCTACCTCACTCAATCTCGTCTTAAGCTCGCTTAAAAAAACTTATCAATGCTGTAATGTAGCTGCATGTCGCGATCGCTATTGGCTGTGATGGTGTGAGGCGTTCCCTGCGGTTACAAGTGGTCCTATGGAACATCCCCACCCGCTTTGGAGGGTCGAAAAAAAAACGTCGGTCAAGCTGTCAGTAAAACACGACTTCTGAAGTCCTGCGCATTGCACTTGTATTTGCGAGAGTTCAAAACGACAATAATAAATGGATCTCGAGTTTGAGAGAGGATTCATGCATCTTTGAAAGAAGCGGAACGTGGGCCAGGTAACGGCTTCACAGTCCACATTTCACACAATAATCACAAACGTTTTGGGCAGTTCCGATTTGCATTAAATAGTGCACAGCGATGCAATAATTGACAATAGCAGTTCCACAGTTAATAATCTCCACAGAACACTTCGCTAACGTAAATCCCCGTCACACGCCCCACACCGCTCTCCCTGACTAGTCCACGACACCGTCCGCCGGTTTCCCCGCTCGATCACAGCTCATCGCCACCCCGCGCGGTGTCTGAGCACTCACAGAGCTGTATGAGCGCCCACTCTCCGGACACCATCCAGTTGGGGTCTCCCGCGGTCAGCGCCTCCCGTTCCGGGGCCAGGCCCGATACCAGGTCCGCCTTCATGGTCCGCAGCGCCACCAGGGGGGCCGGGTGGAACCCCTCGAGGGAAGCACAGAACCCCGTACTGTGCGGCCAGTTCCGATCACCGAGCAGCTTGCGGTAGTTGAGGTCGCCCTTGAAGATGATCAGGTCTGCCCCCTGGAGGTGGGCGTACAGCTCCGGCGCCTCGCTGGCCATCCTGCTGAAGGGTAGGGGGGAGGTCCAGAAGGTATCCGTCTCAAACACCCACGTGCCGGCGTCCAGGTACCCCTGCCATCGCTCGGCGAGCCTGCGGAGGGCCGGTTTACCCTCGGCCGAGTGCATGTGTTGCAGTGTGTGCCGCACGTCGGCAGGGGTGGTGTCCGAGACGTACCACGGGTGCGCCTTGATGTGTAACGACATCCGCTGGGCGATACCCAGGGAGGTGAGCAGGTCGGCCAGGCACAGGTCCGAGAACAGCTCGAAACCGGCGTTATCCATCACAATGTCTGAAACGAGGAGCAGGGGACACATTTAGTCAATGGTAAAATATATCCACGGAAACGGGTTGGTAGCGATATCCAGAGATACGGATGACATCCCTACAGATGGCAGAGATAATGGAGGACAGCACTTTATAAAGCGAACTTCATGAAACAGAATAAATGAGGAGCGTATCAGCAATGCAAATGCTGACGATCAGCAGTACCGGAGGCAGTTTTTTAGATACCTACTCTTTCACTTGTCAAAACTAACGGCAAAATATTATACTCTCAACTAATACTGTTTCCTTTTGTCGTCACTCACCGATTCTGACGTCGCGTTTGTCCCGGAGTCTCCGCAGCTGAGCAAACACCTGCTCACTGTCATTAACCAGCACTCGATGGTTGAGTTCGACCAGCTGCACCAGCGGAGACGCCTCCTGCGAGACGTGCGCCCCGGCACTGATCGACAGGTCGTTCTTGTTCGCCCACAGAGACATCTGTCGGGAAAGACGGCATATTGTGATCTGCTGAGGTTCTGAGGTTGACTACGACACATCGAAAAACATTACAGTCTGTTGAATGGATGAAAAACATCATTTTATAGAAAATAATAATCGCAGAAAAACAAAGACTTACACAAAATACACACCAGGTTATAAAAAAGTTAAATTGCTTGAAGCAGCGCCCGTCCTACACACAACTGTGAAACTCGTATACAGGCATACCTCGACAGCGACAATATTAGACTAAACCTGCACGCAGTTTCGATGAACCGCTCCTTACCCCGATGAAGTCTGAGAAGGCCCGTTTGACCTGCTGGCCGGAGAGGCTCGCCGGGTCGGCCACAGTCTCCAGCAGGTGTTCTCCCAGCAGCTCAATGGCGGCCATCGAGGCCTCCAGGGTGTCCCGCTTCTGCTGGCCGAAGTAATCGTAATCCCGCAGCTCCCCGCTGGTAAACACACGCGAACGAAAAAAATGGAGTCAATCGAGTAAAATGATTAAATCCCGTAATGTGGTACGGGATTCCTTGGTTTGATATTGGATTTACACATTGCAATGTAACATATTAGCCAAAGAAAAAGTGACGGGAGAGGGAGGATAGGTGCGTTAACGCAAACAAATTTGTCAAACTGCGATCTTAGCCATACGCTTGTGTTGACTTCTTTATTCCATCTCCCTCATCGGTCAGTTACCTATTTTCGAGTATTTCCCGGACGCGTCGGTACATGTAGCACTCGACGAAGAGCCAGGGCGCGTCGAACCAGACAGGGGGCTCTCCGTCGACCCACTGCTCCTCCAGCAGGCGGTTCCACAGCGGCACGTCGGCAGCGGCGCCCGCCAGCGGCTGCAGCGGCTTGTTCCGCTGCATGGTGCTCTTCAGCTCCGACAGGCTGCCGTTGATCTGTTTCAGCTTCTCCTTGGCTGCCTGGCAGGAGGAGGATGTGGTAAAATGGTGGTGGGAGGGCTCAGAAAGGGGAGTGTTGCCTCCACTGCTCCAGTTGCAGAACGGCCCATTAGATATGGAAAAATTAATATCATTTTATAGTTTAAGGACATAAAAAACTTAAACATGAAGAATAAAATAATTTGTAAACATATCCTTCATAATAATAATAAATCTTTCATATAAGTTTCCTAGCAAAAAAGGCCACTTCTTCACCATTTTATAATACCTTTCCTTTAGCATTTAATTGACAGCATAGGACTACTTACATCTCCATATTGGTTCCCTATGTTGATCTTCTCTCTATGAAATAGATCTATCACCTTGGTAAGGATGACTGGCATTCTTTCTGAGATAGTCTTGTAAGCAAAAGACCTGAAACAGACCATGAATAAGTACATGACATTGTCTGTAACCCAGATATTAAATTACAAGGAGCCAATTACTGTACAAAAATGGTAAGAATCAATAGATGTCTTTGTATGACATTAAATTGAAGTGAAAAACCAGAAGCAGTAGTAGAACTTACCCCTTGTAGCTACCCCTTAGGACATCTGGTAGCTCAGTGTTGGCCTGGCCTCCCATTGTTGAAAGCAGAAAACAAAGCAGACCTAGTGTAGCAGAACACAAACCAGAGTTCATCTGTAAAAAATAGAAAAAAGTTACCTATGTCACATGTGACATTATAAGGGTAGAATAATGGTTAGTTGCATGTGGTGCATTACCTATAGCATCATAACAATAATTACATCAGATGATAAAAACTTATCCAACAGCACCAGAGTAATCCTAGCAGCCATATACCAGCAATAAGACAATTACATCTTATCTAATTTTGCTTTCAGTAGGCATCTGCTTGTGATCTAGATGGCATTTGTTAATTTATTTCTTTTGATGGCAGATGGAGTCAGTAGAAACATAACCAGACCCAGGCTACCGACCACAACTGTCAACTGTGACGGACGTATCAACATTTTTTTTCAACAAATTTAGCTGAAATTAAAATACAGCTGAAAAGTTGAATGCTTGCTTCTAAAATTGATCAAAATTAATGGTGACTAGTGATGATGACTACTGCACAAACTACAAAGGGTATATACTATATCATAAAAGAAGTATGAAGTTCATAGTCAACAAGATGTAAGTTAGAATGAGTTAATCTGACAGATACCTATCTACCCAATTGGCTAGTCCAAGATTTGAAAGTTAATTACCAACTTGCCCATCCAGGACAAAGCAAGTCATGCAAGTTCTTTGGTTGTTATTTATATGGTCTAATGCATTTTTATTTTGCCTTGCGTCATTCACTATCTCTATTCATTTATTTTAAACTAAAATTGAACTGATTTTTGATTGGAGTGCTCTAAAATCCAAGACACTGTTCTATTGTTCAGCATCAATATTATTGAATACTTGTAAGCCAGCTAAATACACTCAACAGTAAAAGATGCATTGATGATGAAGAACATGATTTTATAGTATGAGCCCATTCAATGTGAAAAAGTGATTCTCAACAGAAACAAACATCAACCCGCGTCTCACACACACAACCCGTCACGTCAGATATCGGCAACAAAATGCATGAAATCACAAATGTCACAAATGCAAGCATAATATGCTGTTTGATGACGTCAAATTTGTAAATGATCCTCAAACGTAGCTAACTAATTCGAATTGAATAATAACTACAATGGCGCTGGTTAATTATAAATTTTTAAGACATTTAATGTATTAATTATCTTTGTTATGACAAAAATATTTTGAAAGTATTTATGCTAGTCATAATAAATGCTTTTGTTAAATGTTGACAGCTAGCCCTACTCGCAGCATAGGCGCATTTATGTCTCATTTTCAGTAAGATGTAGGCAGCTAAATAATATTTTAGTAGATTCACTTTGATACAATTTAAAGCCGAAGTGATTAGATATTTTCAACACCACTTTTCAAGCGTGCATAGGGAATGCCGCAATGGCCCAGGAATTCATGGAGATGGGTTGACACAGACTGCCTTTCTGGATCCGCTAATGAATGTAAATAATTGACATTAGTCACAAAGTGCAACGTAAGTCATAGCGAGTCAGCGTAGGTCGGTGGAACGTAGGTCGAAGGTCCCGCTTTTCATGGGCACCGATAAACCTAAGAGAAGAGTACTTTACCGTCACTTCACCAGTTCGGGGCCAGGTGTCCCAGCAGATGGTGTAAAAATCTTCTGAACGGCCTACGTGCTGCGTGGGCCACTCGCACTTAGTGTTCCACGGCACCGGGCTGGACCGCTGCAGCTGGTCGTTTACTCTGCTCCTCCCTTCCTCCTCCCTCGCAAGTCGAACACATCCACAGCTGGACGCGATTATCGTCTGTCTATGCACTAATTACGTCGGGACGATGCTTATAAGCTGTCGAGTGTCGATTAGAGAGACATAGTCGATTAGAAAGAACAGTCTAAACGGTTCAAACGCTAATGCCGATTAGACAGAGAAGCGCTGCAGACAATAGTGACCACATTCATTGACACCACAATCGTTTCCATAAACTACGACGCATCAGCACATTTTGACACTCCATCGGTATATCAATAATGTAGGTATATTTCAAAGATATGCCAGCGATTGATAGCGCCTGCAGCCTGGCCAACGATCAATGACAAACAGCAGGCAAAGCATCACGAATCACGAACGTAGGCGCTTTTGCGAAAGCCACAAAAAGAAAGACTGAAGACGGCCATAAGCACTCGACAGAACCGCACAAAAACATGCAATACAGTTGCTGTTTAACTAAGTTACCAATCGCGATTTCAATTTTACCAAAGCCGACTTTATTCTTCTTTAAAAACTTTCGTAATTAACTACACACACCTGTCACGCAGAAATAAATTCGAAAATTGTAAACAGAGCATTAAAGCTGGCCGATGTTTGTCATTGTCTTCGCTCAGCCTTTATCAGCTAGTGCCCACTCCTACTGGTATTAGAGCATTCACAAAATAGAGACCCATCCATCATTTCCCCTTCCTTTTCCACTCTCATCGCAGACTGTTGACTACGCAAAGCGGCACCGGCAAGCTTCGTTCCACATCTATGTACATTTCTACTTGTTAATGGCGCTGTAAAGTATCTAGAAGCACAGCAAACTTTGGCACAAAAGCAATATTTCAAGCACTGGCATTAGGCACACACATCGTCTCAAAACCTAAAATCTGAAAATATGTACACCTATTCGACCCATGGATGCGACCTATCGCGGCCCTTTGACATCAAAGCGGTAAAATCGCGAATGCAATCAAATCGATTCAGACTTTTAGACCCGGAACAGCTACAATTACGGAACCACACATCACACTGTAGACTGTAGAGCCGACATTCACAACGTAGAAAACGGACTATAATTATGGACGTCCATAATTGCGATATTTGAAATTTAGAATAGCTTCAGTACGACACGATCACTTGAAACATCACATCAAGGTGTTGTACACCATTCTAGCTTACCGTCTTCTAAATAAAAGCAGTCAGTAAATCACACCAGTATGAAAGAAGGCGACACTCATTGCACGACACTATTCACCATTCCCCCTCTGCATCTTTGCACGAGAACGAGAACAACTGCTCGAACTCTAATCAATTGCAGTGCTCAGCCGGCCCGACTTTTTGTGACCGAGCCCGAGCCACCGATCTCGAAGTACGACGACAGGGAGATCAGACGACTTTCTCCATTTATGAGTACATGTTGTGTTCCATCCAGTCCTCCAGAGAGAACGTCGCCTTGTTTGTTTGTCTCGGGTCTTTGTCTTTGAAGATTTCTGCAACAAAAAATATTGATCATGAGCTTTTGAGAAATTCCATGATGCGGGAGCATCTCTGTGATTATCGTTCCACGTAAATAAAAGTTATGACGCTAAAAGAATAACTTATTCAGTCGGTTGCGGTCAGCAGTAATACGTTATGTCCGCAACGCCAATTGTAGGTACCCCAGTGACCTCTAGTCCTTTTGAACAACAGTGCTTTATTAAGACGATATATTATACCCAAATATGTCATGTCATCGATGAATATCGATCAGCGACCTCAACCGCCCACTTACCGATGCATGTCTTCATCTTCACGGCACAGGCCATGAAGTCGTCGAAGGCCACCCTTCCTTCTCTGTCACCGTATCTGCGAGGGGATTAAAAGATTAGAGACCTCCCCGAAAAGTAATAAATATTACGAGCAAATATAATAATATTATAATAACATATATATTATATAATAATATAAGAACACCGGAACATATATCATAGAACATCAGAAAATTAAATGCGATGAACATTTTAACCTTTAAGTTCTCGTAATTTCCTAGCGCATTAAAGCTGGCTGTCATACATTTATTTTCGATAAGGCTTCAGTCTCGAACCCATCTATCGGCCGCAGTTAGCACCAGACCCAACCAGTCACTTAGCCTTCCACCCTCCACACACACTGTCTGACCTGTGCATCAGCAGGTTGAGCATGTTGTTATTGACCCGGTAGCCGGACTCGTTTAGCGCCGCCCGTAGCTGGAAGCCGCTCAGGTACGACGAGCCCGAGCGGTCGTGCTTCTTGAAGACCGACTTCCACAGGCGGATACTGCTCCAGAGCGATTTGAACTCCTCCAAACCGAGCTGTCCCGAGTTGTCGACGTCCAGCAGAGCGACCATCGAACGCACCGTGTCCTTGCTGAACCCGTCAAACTCGAACTCTGCAGGGCAGAGAGGACGAGAATGAGAGTGGTAGTGCCTCGATCGGTGCTGTTCGCTTCATGGTGTCCAATGCTTGTATATTACACGATTTACGAACATCTATCAGGAGGCCTTACTTCGCTAATCCAACGTTGGCCAACCTTTTTAGCACCCCTTATCAGGTTGCATCCTGTTCCAACTGTCGATATCGAGGCTTTATCAACACAACGGCACTTGATAAATCCAACATATCACTATAATTACAAATATAGCGGCGTTAGATAGGGCGAACATAATTTTAATCCCAAACGACTATCTGAACTGAACGGTATCATCGTCGAACCTTTCTTCAGGGCGTAGTCGAGCACCTCCTTGAGCTCTCGCCAGTCGACCTCGAGGTTATCTCCGGCGATTTGTGTGAAGAACTGCCGCACGGCGCGGTCGTACTCGGACTCTTGGCTCAGCTCCGGCGTGATCTGTCCGTCAGGAGAGGTTACGAATTAGACACGGACGGTTAGGCATGGATCGTGTGGTGACGGATCGCACAAGTCACATGGCTATTTCACTCTGCACGATAGGCAACTGTCGATATGTATCTGTGGAGTTAGACAGCTGAAAAGTAGGACATAAAATGGCGATGTGCCTAGATCCATAGATTTAGATACGACATGCTGTTAAGTTCTTTTGTGATGCATAGACGTTATAGAAAATTTTGGAGAGTTATTTGTTTAATTAGTTGAGAACAAGTGAGCCATTTTGCATAACGCGCAATGATAACACGTGCAGCCAGTATGCCTACGTTTTAGGGAGCATTATTGTACTTACCGGATCATGCACGGTTTCTTGACAGGACCAAGGTGTATTTCATGGGAACATTCACAACAAATACTCATTTTAATTCACGTTCATTTACTACATACCAGTAAAACGCCTTTTGGGCGAAGAACGAGCGAGCGAGATAGTGAGCCCTGCACGTGCGGAAGGGCGAGAGGATGCTTCCAACGGGCTTGCGCAAAGCACCCTTCTAACCGGTCGCTAGCGGTGTGTCAAATTTGAACGCAATCGGCCCAGCCGTTCCTGAGATCTGGAAGCGGCATTCTGCACGTGCGCACGTGCAGACGGGGTCCAAAATGACTTTTGCACGGCACCCTACTAACTGGTCCCCAACCGTGTACCAAATTTGAGCGCAATCGGCCCAGCCGTTCTCGAGATCTGGAAACGCCCCCTGCACGTGCGCACGTGCAGTAGCACCCTAACCGCAACACATGGGAATGCATTGCCTGGTGGGTGCCTACCTGTATGCCAAGTTTCAGCGAAATCGCCCCAGTAATTACTGAGTTACTGAAATGGGAACAAATTTTGCACCTCTTATTGTTGTATTTTGCACGTGCACTGGGGGTGACCCACATGCATCGAGACTATCTTATTTTGGGTAGAGGGGATGCTGCTACCCTACAAAAATTACCGCAAGTCAATCGCCCAAGCGGCTGCTGAGATATGAGCCTCTCAAAATCACTACTTTAGCAAAACAGCTTGAACACCCTTGACTTTTCACGTGGCACGTGCCACGACGATCACTGAGATGTATCAAAAGTAGTCAATTACGGGGTAGAAGGGATGGGGCTACCCAACAAAAAAGACCGCAGGCCAATCGGTCCAGCGGTTGCTGAGATATAAGCCTCTCAAAAGCGTTACAGGCCGGGCCGGGCCGGGCCGCTCATACTGAGATTTTTCCGTTATATTGAAAAGACTCACTTCGCTCGCTGCGCTCGCTCGCTCGTAACAAATGAAGCATGCTTTGGAATGAAATGCGATATGAATATCCAGAGTCCTTTATATCACAAAACAGAGGCAAGGAGAAGCTGCGATGAATCAAACGAATATACAGGGATGCATGCTTATCACCCATTTACACAATCAGGTGGGTAACTACAGATGCACATTGGCATAATTCCGAAAAAGGCGCCACCCAGGGCATGTACCGTGATAAAAATAGAATGGCTCAATATTTATACACAAAGGAATGCAGCGTTCGAGCCGACCAGCCCAAACCAATTACCTAAGCGTTCTAAAGCCGATGTCCTCGGGTTCGCATTTTTGACGAGTTAATTAGGGGAATAGCGATATGGGGGAGGGGGGCTGCCTTACTGATTGTTCCTCCTTTCACTCAACTCACCACATGTATTCGTACCGAAACTCTTTCATCGAAGACCTACGAGAAGCATCAGCAAACCAAGTAAGAAGTTAAAACTGTCGGGAGTCGCTACCGTCATTTCCAATATGCACTTAAGTCAGTAAATGATTAAAGTAAATATTGAACAAGTGAATGAATGCTTTATGGTCAGGAAGGGTTAGCGGAGTCATTACCGACTACGTTAGTGTAAGTGAAAGTAAGGAGACATATAATTGAGATAGTTGAGAGAGACAGAGTTTACTACGGTGAGTTTAACGAGCGTGCTTATCTGCACCTAATGTTACACAAGCTGCACTGGTATACAGAGGTCTATTGTCCAATGTGATACCCTAAAATTCCCGATTTAACTAACCCAAAACCTCTTACGCCCACCTGTGCACTGTGCGTCCTCACCTCATCGGAGACCTGTCCGGGGCCGACTTCCTCGTCATTCTCCTCCATGTTGTTGCGCTTCTCGGAGAAGATGCGGATGAGGAATTCTCCCTCCTCGTTCGGCTCGAACGTGCTCGGCACGATGCAGTAGCTGCCCGGCGGCAGCTTGAAGCGGCACGACACCTCGCGCAGGTTGATGAAGCTAGGTGCGCGCGCCACCGAACAGTTGTACCGGAAGAACTGGGTGTCCAGAGGCTTGGGCGCGCTGTCCGGGTCATTCAGCTGAGAGGGAGGGGTGAAATGGCGTTAGACTCATTTGTAGCGCTTAAACCGGATATTTTACGTCGCATGACCGTTTTTTACATTTCCCGATGAAGCATAATATTTGTTCACTTTAGGTTACGTTTAACGTACCAACTATTGCACCGAATGGATATTTCAAGACGCCGTTTGTAGAAAAGTTATTCCTACGACACGACTTTATTTCCCCTATACACAATTCTTTTGAATAGTTTGGTAGCGGCCGTTTCTGATAGATGGACCAATCTAGCCCAGCCGTTTCCGTACGTGATAGATGGAGAAGCCGATGGTGAGACAATCGAGGCCGAGCCGCCGCTGGGCGCGCCGGTTCTTCTGCATCACGGCGATAATCACGGTGCACTTGCGCTCCTCGTCGTCTTCGTCGACGTCGTGAAGCTGGATCCGGTACTGAGGGTTGTGCGCGAACGTGTCTGACGGGAGATGACGGTCAGTCAGCGTCAGCCAATCCTTGTCTGATGTCATGGTGAGTTGAGAGTTTTATTGTTTGTTTGTTTGTTTGTTTTGTTGGGTTAGGCCTTTTCGGTCTGGCAAGACCATTTCAGAGCCGGGAGGATGATAGGATAAAGGGGAGACATTGGTCTGGGCAGGCACCCTAGTGAGTTGCCGGGGCTGAGCCCGTCCAGAGGACAGGCCACCCAGCCCCAAGGCACTCACTGCACCCGGCTACGGGGTGCGCTCCCTCGGGAGCAGCGGTGCCGCTCCAAGGGAGCAGCCCGCATGAGATAAAGTTGCCTGTCCAGCCCGGAGGGGGGTTGCGGCGTGGAGGAGAAGGATTTCTGTATCCTGAGGATAGAAGCACGGAACGGTGTGCGAGTTTTATTGTGACGGCAATATGTGAAATATCGTATCGCGAAGTATGTTTCACATACTTGTCTCGATTGCGAGATAATAATTTGACTGAACAGATTTTTATCATTGACTGACTGAATTACTTTGATTGAAAGTGAGATCAGTTTGAACCTAGGCGTATTTCTGTAAAGAAAGCAATAGGTATACAATACATGGATTAATAAATAAATGTGCACGAAACAAAACATCACGACACACATCCGTAGCCCTCAGCGTCTTACTGATATAGTTTCTGCAGCCACCGGCGGTGGCGCCGCGCACCCAGGCTCCCTCGAACACGGACATCTCCCAGCGCCTGGAGGCGTCGTCTTCATCGTCATCCAGGCTGTCCGGGCTCAGGTTACAGATCTCCAGACGCTGCCGGTCATAGGGCGGACGGCACGGTAAACACGCGACGGGGAGGGTCAATAGTGATTAGTGTGGAATATTGCAGACTGATGGGCATCGTTATTAGGGCGGATGATGGTTTTTATTGGTGATTTTCTGATTGATGACGAAGTTTGAGAAAATAAATCAGTAGCGCCGGTCAGGAGCAAGCCGATAAACGGTGAAGGAGTGATTATTTACCTGGAAGTTTCTGGTGAAGTCCTTGAATGTCATCCAGAATTCTCCATCGGCATCAAACGTTAGTCCGAGTTCCCTCCGGGTCTCCTCCGGAATATAGTTCCACTCCGGCGACCTGAAAACGACACAAGACAGTCGGCGTTAGGTATAGGTATCGTCTCTACTTCGAGGTGAAAATCGTTCATGACACGCATCTTTGACTTTGATTTGTTCAACAGCAATCGGATATATTCGCCCATTGATAGCTCACGTGATGGTCGATACGAGTGAACAAGTGCATGACTGTGCGCCGTGAGGTTACCAAATACCAGACGAGTGGATAGCGTACAACACAGAGCTCATGAACACCACCATGCTACCACGCTGCTGAAAGGTAGGCTGTGCCGCAGTACAGCGGTAACTGGATGTTAGGCTGTGCCGCAGTACAGCGGTAACTGGATGTTAGGCTGTGCCGCAGTACAGCGGTAACTGGATGTTAGGCTGTGCCGCAGTACAGCGATAACTGGATGTTAGACTGTGCCGCAGTACAGCGGTAACTGGATGTTAGACTGTGCCGCAATACAGCGGCGACTGGGGGTAGACTGTACCGCAGAACATCTTGTAAGTACTGGACGGTAAGCCATTGATGAATGGCGAATGTAAGCTCATGTCGTCAGAAAGTCGTTTAAACGTAAGCATTACTTACGAAGCGGCGTAATAGTTCTAGATCATCAACATCACAGTGTCATCCTCCAATTCTCAGTAAGCTTGGTAAATAAGGCGACCTCATCCAGAAATTAATTTTGACCGGGACATTTTTCACCTAAATGGCAGAGCTTTGTGAATGTGCGTCAGAGTAAGCAGTATTCATTATTCAAGCTAATGGGTTTGGCATTTTCAGTCAATATTATTCATTCGCTTTATCCAGTCTGTGACTGACGACTCGGTTCATGCTTTTACGGGAAACATTCTGAACGCTGTCCTGTGACCTGTCACTTGTTCTATTCAACATGACATTCACCGACATTCACCGGTGTCATGCAGAGACAGTGAGCCATGCTCCTGAGCTCGGCATACATGACCAGGCTGATGATTTCCGACGTTCTGGAATGTTGTGACGGCACATTGGTGTGTTTTAATTTCTCCGGCCGGCCGGCGGGGCGGAGGTGTTGTCCCTGGACGCGGGCCAGGCCGGCTGTCGACGCACCTGGCTGACCCGCCGGCCCGCGCAACTGGGCCGGGTCGGACCTCTGCCCCAGGGCGGAGCCGGCACCACCAGCCGGCCACACCCATTAAATGGACAAAGGGGCGACGTTGGGAAAGGCTGGCTTCGAATTTGTGAGGAAGCAAGCAACAGGAAAAACATTAATTGTCATTAGGGTCATTGGTTTACTGCCACACGGTAACAATGCGAAAGTGATGATACCGACATAGAGCTGAACAGGATACTTTGGGGCTGGGCGGTGGTGCTATCCTATCGCTGTAGCCACTAGCCACTAGTCGCTTAAGCCTGCATTGTTCATTCAAATCTTATCGTGCATGCACCCGCTATATAAACAAGCACCGTGACTCATTCTTATATCAGCAGCCCGGCTAAGAATGGCATGATAGCCAGGCCTTGGCCCTTGCCCAGTTGAGATAGCTCCCAAACCCGGCCAACCCCCCTCACTCACTTGTCGGAGAAGGCGCCCTTCCACTCCGCCTCGTTTCCCCACGGGTTTCTGATGCGCACCATGGGTATTTTGCCCTGGACCCGAGGCGTCTCGATATCGGCCAGGCAGGCCTTAGTCACCGAGTAGGCGTGACCCTTGATGAGGCCGTTCGACATTTCCGCCTCTGCCACGTATGGGTCCGGCTGAAGGGGGGGGGGGGACGAAATCAGAATACGGTATAACGTGAAACGGGTGAGAGGGAATGTGAAGTAGATTCTCTCTCTTCCGGTTTCCACCGGCGGTTTATTATATGGAGCTTATACAGGCAAATAAGGCATGTAGTTAAAGTAGATAAGCAAATAAATAATGCATGACTAGACATAACGCATCTTATGCCCTTTACAATGAAAAGGCAACAAGGTGTCTTTGAGCAAGGGAGCATGTTGGAATCGGCATGACCTTAATCTACACTCTTACCGACCACCATTTACTCCTCTATTTTTCTCTTTCTTACCTCGATGGAGCAGCTCATGAGTGACTGTCGCTGGTTGGCCTTCAGCATGATCTGAAACAGGTTCTCTGGGGCCTGCTCGATGTCGTACATCTCGGTGACGCCGCCGCTGAAATCCTCCATGGCCTCGCAGGTGGTGCCGCCCTTCAAGGCCTCGTACGAGCCGTGCAGTCTGAAGGATATGATACGACGATTAAATGTGATAATACTTGCCGCCGGTGCCACCGGATAACTTGGATAAACAGATTAGCAGGCATCGATAAGCGACTATTAGGCAGTTTTTCATTAGTTGTATTATGATCACGCTGTCTATTTTCATGATATTCTCTTTCAACTTACATGATGCGAGCGAGATAATGTTGCTAGAAAATGGCTGATCAGATGACCCGATACTTTTCCATTTTTACGTTATTCGGCAAAAACAAAACACTTCTCCCACCGTCAGTATTGGACGTTTCCGCCTAACACCCGTACCCGTCTTGCTGACTCACTTGGCGTATGCCTTCTCGAGGAGAGCCGACCAGAACTCCCTGTTGTCCTGCGAGTGCATGAAGGCCAGCTGACCGTGGTAAGTGGGCAGGCGGTCATCGACCACCACGTCCACCCACCGGCCGTACTGCCAGAACCTGACGGAGAGGCACGACGGAATAATATCTGAGACCAGCGGCGGAGAGCACAGGACAGGGTGGAGCCGCACCTAGGTCATAATGAGGTCAGCTAGGATGTAAAATGCTTCTTAAATGTGATTATGCTGAGCATTAAAAACTGTGTGTTTAAAAACACGTTGTTGTCCATTTCATAGACGAAGTAAAATAATAATAAACTTAAAAAAATAAAATTCAAACCCAAACAAGCATTTTGCACTACCTACTGTAAGAGCTATCACATAATCACAAAAAACAGAAATTTTACATTTGCCGTGTTTGGAGCCCGCAACTTTGCTATCTTATTCTGTACCTACCGTCAGCCCAAATTTATTGATGTGCACACAGAGGATAATTTACCATCGGCTGAACAGGGCTGTTTACTTGTTCAGCTGGTGTTTATGTTGAGATGTTTGCCGGAGGTGCCGAAGGTCTGAGGACCACCGCTGTTCAGAGGCCGTTAAACATAGGCTAATGAAGTCTGGACGGCTGGGGTGGGCAGAGGCCGCTTGTAAGCACAAGCGGTTCGCTGGGGTGGTACAATTTGTGCCTGATTTACCACTGCCATAAACGTCTGGAACTGGTTTGTTTGGTCTACATCGTTGCTCAATATAAAATATTATATGAAATTCCGTCCCGGCTTACTTGAAGCTGTTATCCAGAGGCGGTATCACAGACCTTCCCCATCACCTACCTGAAGTGGAAGATGCCGGCGTACTGGTCGTCCATCTCCTGGTCGCTGGGCACGATCTGCGCGAACAGCTCCTGGTTCAGTGTGATGTTGGCCACGGCGGCTAGCAGCCAGCAGTCGCCTGAGCAGAGACATGGAAAAGAACGTAAGGTGATACGGTGCCGGTGGTCTTCGAAGCTCGCCGCGAAAATAACGTTGAATGAATAATAAAGTACCATAAATCAGTTCACAAGACAAGTTCGCAATGGATGCAACGAGACGATAAGCGGAAACTTTGCTTAGTGTTTTTCAAAGATAAATTATGAAATAATTAAGTCATCGTGGTGAAATAATTAAATGTTGCTAGAAACATGGAATTATTAGCATGAATAAAATGAAATCCTTACCTAGCTCTCCCTGTTGGACATCAAACCGGGAAGCGCCTTTCAAGATGAACTTCGGGTTGCTGCAGATTTCCTGAGAAAAGAACGCCCAATTAGCCGTTTTTCGTCCTACTTTCTCGGTCCAACGTTCAATTCTTTTCGTCAACTGAGGTGTGTGGATGTTTGAGATTTTTCCATATCCCACCAGTACTAACATGTCACCGACCTGTCGGTTTGCACGGTCAACACCATTCTGTGACTGGTCGATTCGATACAGTAAACACACCAGCTCTATCGATCTACGGTGATATTAGACGGCGGTAAAATCCAATTTAATTCGTATATGATGCAAGATAAAATCACTAAAACCACCCAACGTTTCGTGTTATTCACTTTTTCAAGGGTGATATGACACATTTTACCTACAGAGTCAAGTACGTTTTTTTCGGTTTCGTTCGAATATAGCGTGGGCACTTTTTCACAAATTTCCTCTGCCTTGCATGACATATTGACACATACATACACACATACTACAAATTAACGTCTTTCCTAGCCAACAGAGCAGACACCGAAGCTAGTCTGAAGAATCCACTCGAAGTGTTCAAAACATCACCTTTCGCAATAAACGCTGCTTCTATAATTCTCCGTTGGGTTTTAGAAAAGTTTTGATCCACATAACCAGCCCTCAGCTGTAGCTGATCAGCCTGTGGCAGAAACCAAACCAATGGTAATAGCTCCGCATTCTCCTTTGAATGAAACGGTTCAGAAACTGATAGGTCCTGCGCTGGGCATAGTCTCTGTAGGGGGGGGGGGGGGGCAGAAGATAGGTGGGATAATGCGTAAAAAAAGGTAACAGTCTCGCAACAGAGACAGCGTAGTTTACAAAATTCCATGTAGTGGGTGCCCGCGGGTGTACTACGGGGAAACTGGTAGGGGTCTCAAAACACGGGTCCGTGAACACAGGGGGGATTTACGTAATCATAGACTTTCCAATGCATTTGTTATTCACGCTGAGAAAGAAGGGCATTTACCTGATTGGACGCGGGCTACACATGTGGATCAAAACTTTTCTAAAACCCAACGGAGAATTATAGAAGCAGCGTTTATTGCGAAAGGTGATGTTTTGAACATTTCGAGTGGATTCTTCAGACTAGCTTCGGTGTCTGCTCTGTTGGCTAGGAAAGACGTTAATTTGTAGTAAGTGTGTATGTATGTGTCAATATGTCATGCAAGGCAGAGGAAATTTGTGAAAAAGTGCCCGCGCTATATTCGAACGAAACCGAAAAAACGTACTTGACTCTGTAGGTAAAATGTGTCATATCACGCTTGAAAAAGTGAATAACACGAAACGTTGGGTGGTTTTGGTGTTTTTATCTTACATCATATACGAATTAATTTGTCCAATTCAAATAATCAAAATCCAATTTCCTTTTCCAGAGCACTTTATTTTAGGGAACCATGTAACTAGAAAGGAGAATATATGTGGAGCCAGCTGGTCGTGCGAGATCGATGACATATTTCAGGATGCCCGAGAAAATAACTCGTGTATGAGGAATCTGTTGTCAGATGAAGCAGTTTCCACTGGAAACTAAACGGTTGCGGTCAGCTTGGGACTGACGTGAAGTCATTTTTACTCAAAACCGCCGTGGACAGTCTGACACTCTCAATTGGTCATTCCCACTTGAAAGAATATTGTGTACTCACGTGAGGCCGTTTCCACTCGAAGGGCCGCGGCGGCGTGCGAGAGAAGAAGATGGAGTACTCACGTGAGGTCGTTTCCACTCGAAGGGCCGCGGCGGCGTGCGGGAGAAGAAGATGGAGCAGTCGGTGGCCGGAAACTCGGGGTCCTCGAACAGCCGGCCGGAGCGGCGACACTCGGCGCGCAGCTTCTCAAAGTCCTGCACCTCACCGCGGGCGCGCAGACCCGAGCCGCGCTCGTTCATCTGGGAGAAGAGCGGGGTCGGGCAGAGGTCAGAGCAGGTCAGGTAGGGTCACCGACGGGACTTAGTTGACCTTCAGTAGTCCGAAATAGTCGGATTAGGACGGATCATATACTGGAGTTAAACCTCGGAGACGCCTCATCGTATTTTTATTCTGGTTTGAATAAACGTTAATCAATTTCTGCTTCATATACAGCAATGATCCACTATTAGGCTGGCCTATACTTTTCTACTTGCCGTCACATGAGGGAAAGATCAGTGGTTCAGGCTCACAAGAACTAGGGTGGGTCGTCATCACTGACTGGGTAGCAGTATTGATATCTTCGCTGTGTTTTGGGCGTGTCAATGCAACGATAACAAACAACTCTCGTGATCATTCGTCTAACACGAAGCTGACGAAGCTGCCGTCATTGATGACCGATATCAACAATGGAATCGTCACAGATAGAAGGGGTAGACCACCCGCGTGAAGGCTGTGAAGATCGGTATGTTGGCTCAAGGTGTTTTGTTTGGACTAATGCCTGCTGACGTATTGTTTGGTTGGAAAACATAAATATGTATGTCGAAAACTGAACGTATGGCACAAACGGCCGGTTTATAGTTATATGTAAACAAAGTACAATAAAAACGTTAATGTTTTGTCCAGCTGACAGCTTCAGTAGACGCTTCATTTTCCAGCGTCTGTCCCTGATTCTGTGACCTCCAGCCCCAGCCTCTGTCCTCTGGGTCGATGGCCGGAGGCGGGAGAAGGATGGCTGGCACGGTGCCACCCTCCCCTCTCCCCTGTCTCCATGGCAGAGCTCCCAGGGAGCCTCGGCAGACAGCCGGGACGGGACAGGTCAGGGGTGTGAGGCGGGCTTCAAAGGCGCTGACACGCCAGGAATGCAGGCGCCGGTGGATAGTGCGCTAATTACTTGGCAGAGCGACTGCCTCACAACTTGTCAAGAGAGTAGTAAAAATGGCGCGTACCTGTCATGCTCATGTCTTGTATCGCAGAAGCACACATGACCGAACGCATTGGTATAATGAGATCATATTGCTAGAGGTCGTATACTCCTGAATGACCAAGAGGAAGGAAGAGATAGGAAGACAGTGAACATAAGCATGAAAAGATTGGGATATGACTCATTGTAATGCCGTCATTATGCCACTAAATCGCAAATGTGCTGAAAAATTGAACCCCCTAGGCCTAGCTATTCCAAACCGAAATGGTGAAAAAGCATGAAAATGCATGAATGAATAAATGCATGGAACACCTCTCTGCTATACAAGCACGATTTTACCTACCGGGACGATTTTCGTCCGTGCTTCCTTTGTGTTCGTCAGTCGCCCGTTGCCTCTGGACCTGCTCTTCTTGTAGTCATCGAAAGAGGCGTTCAGGTCAATGGAGCGCCGGGCCGGCTGCGGAACGGTGACCTGATCTAAGGTCATCCCGCTGGCCGTCAGTCGCCGGGGCGCCGCCACCGGCTTGTACTTGGGCTCTTCAACTGGCTTCGGTTCTTCGCCCTCCGAAGTTATGACCTCAGCTAGTACCGCCTTTACACGACCATCCTCCGGGACATTGGCAGCTCGGGTATCTTCCTGGGCTCCGTTAAGCTCTTCATTTTCTTTGGCATCGATATTGTGTCTTTTTGTAGGCTTTGCTCTCGGTTTCAAGCTATCCATATGCTCAGGACTTTCAGCGGCACTTCGTCTTTCATCATCCACGTCTCTCTGCTTTTGGTCACGCGTATGTCCGATTTCATCTCCAATCGGCATTTCTTCAGTTTTGCCGGACTTGAGTCTAGCTGATACTAGTTTTACATCGACCTTTCCTGTTCTTTCTCCTGTGTCCGCTTGCTCTTTATACGAATCATCTGCAGGTTTGACCTCAGGCCTCCGATATCGGCTCCGCCGTGCCGCCGCGGAGTTGCTGTCCTCCTCTGAGATCAGGTCCGGCAGCGGAGATGCCCTGGCTGAGCCGACCCTCGTGGCCGCTCTGGGGGTTGGTGTATCACTCGTTCTCAGAGCGGCTGATCTATGACTTCCCTCGGCCGCCGGGCTTCGGTCTCGAAGCGCTCGTCTCTTTTCAAGAGCATCTACTGAGCGGCGGGGCTCTGGTTCGGCCAGCTCATCACTACTTCCCGAGGCAGCCTTGGCAGCTTTCCTGATCTCTCTGATGGCCGAGGCGTGTTCAGCCGATAGTCTTCCAAGAGGCCGTTTCTCGTCCAAGTCACTATCTATTCTGTACCGCGCCCTGCTGGGTAGCGTTTGAATATGAGGCGCAGAGTGGTCGGTGCCCCGGTGCCGTCTCGGTGTTTCCTCGTGTTCATCAGCGTCTTCAGCATGTCTAGCTCTATGATGTCGATTACTCACCCTCGTCGCAACACTTGGAGACGATTCTTCATACCGCCTCTCTCCGTGGACCCTGGGAGAGGTTGGGACATCCACACTTCGATTCTCCGTGTCCAGTTCATCAACGGACTGACCTCGTGCTCTGGCAACCTGCCTTCTGTCAGACCGATCTGCATATCTTGATGGGGAAACGCCTGAGCGTCTACCAAGACTCCTGCTACCAGAATCATCGACTGCTCGGAAGGCACCCAGCCCTCTTCGTCGAGCTTCTGGCGACTCTCTATCACGAGGCTGCCTCTCAGTCGCCCCAGCCCGCTCTTGGTTCCCCTCCTCGTCCTCCGCCTCATCCCTCTGTTTCAGCCCCAGCCACTCTCCCATACTGCGGGGCCGCGGCGGCCGAGGCTGCTCCGCCCGACCCGTCAGACCGCTGCGGAGCCTGGCGCGCGGCGCGTCAGAGGGCCGGCCGTCGTCCACCTCGTCAGCCCAGGAGGGTCGCGGTCCGTCCTCCTGCGACTGCAGCCTCTCCATCATCCTCTGGACGTTGTTGCCGGTGCGCTGGCGAGTCCACGGCCTCGGCAGCGAGCCGGCGCCGATCAGGTTCCCCGTGCTTTTCCAGGGGCTCACCGGCGGCGACTGGCGGGGGATGTCCTCCGGCTCCGGATCAGCGAGCCCGTGGGTGGATCGCCACCGGGTCGGGCCGCCGGGTCGCGCCCGGTCATCACCGTATCGAGACGACATGCCGCCGCTGGCCGTCCTTCCTAAGCAGACGAGTTGATCTTTAACACTGATGGACAGATGGAGACGATTCGGACGCGTTCACCGTTGCAGGACACAGCTTGGCGGCAACCGCGCTCCTCCCAGGCTCCTCTCGGACACAGCTCGGACACAGTCCGGACACGGCTCGGACACAGTTCGGACACCGCTGCTGTCCGCCAGTGGACAGTCTACTGATAGCCAGTGGGTGGCGGCCGGCCGGGTGTGGCGAACTCCTATCAGGCCCCTATCAGCCCTCAGCCATGAGCGCAATCAATGGACAGTGGCCGCACCATGCAAGTCAGACAACCGCGGAACTCCCGACCAGATAGACGAGCTCTTGAGGACTTCGAGCATTCGGGTTGATTAGATTATGAGTGGTCTTAGTCACTCATGATATGTCATGATATGATATGTCAATGGGTTGTCGAATAGAAGGTCGCAGTCTTTCTGAAAGGCGAGTTTGTTTAAAGATTTAATGATTGAGATGACAGTGGTATCGCAAACTGAGCAGCGGTGTTCAGAATGATGGGTTGATGATGATGTCTAAAAGCGCCTTTAAATGTCTTGATTAAAGCGGCATGGGTGCATTACATGCCTAGTCGTGGGGCTACTTCATTCAAAAGCAAAGTCAATTGAACGACAGCTTTCAGCTGGGGCGAGAGTGCAAGTGTATCGTATTTTTATTTCGCGTGCATTTTATCAGGGCCAAGGACTTCGCATCTAGTTATACAGCTGAAGCTAATGTTGGTTCTTCTATCTATCGGTTTATTAAAACAGCGAGACTCACATTCATCTGACAGCTCCTTTTAGCCCCTGAGCCGTTTAATCCTGATCTAAACGGGACCCATTAAATCCTTAGGGACCGTTTGTTGTCCCTAATCCAGTTCCGTCTATCCTGAATTCTGCAGCTGTTCTGGGGGATTAGCAGTACGAGTTTTTAGCTTTTGCGGTAGCTTCGGGACACTTTGATCTCGAAGATTGTTAGGATAATTGGCTGCTCAATTAGTAAATTATCGCATTGGTTGAACTTGAAGTACAGGGTTATGTTGGAATAGATAAAAGAAATTCACAGGTTTTGTTTGATGAATACATGTGCATGTAAATGTAATAAACGGAATACGGATACGAGCTTCAAATTTACAACACCTTAACAACTGTTTTGTCTGTGAATTATCTCATTAGGCATCTCATATCATCTCATCTCTCATCTCATTTGAACGTATCGAGGCACTAGACTCATTCCAGTCATGGGTGCCATGCACAGTGCACACTTACCTTAAACACGGTGAGTTTCTTATAGCGGTACGGCATTTTCCTGTTTTATTTGCCCTCACTCAACTATATTTCACCAGCACAGTCACAGGTTGTCCCGCACTGGGTTCATAACGCTGCAGTTCACCTCTCGCACTTGCTGTGCGTTTACTGACTGTTCTACGTCTGACACTAGGACACACATAATTCCTAGCTGATTTCGGTCCCCTGTTGACTTGCTTTGTGGCTCCGCTTCGCTTCACTTCACAAGCAAGCTTGTTATTGCAAGAGAATGGCAAATTGGACCCACTAGATACACCGTTTGACAAACTAACGTTATGTACCAGAGGCTTTTCAACTGACTTTAACCGCTCGCTATATGTTATTTTGTAAACGTTATCTACTATAGTTGCGTCAAACAGTGGGCTTTAAATCAAGATTCGTTTCCCTTTTGCAATTTCAAATCCAAGTGAGCTTTGATCACATAATTTTACACAACGCTTTCTTCGCTTGTCCCTTCCTGCCGGCACTCGATTCCCCACACTTCGAGCACGTGTCCGCTGCCCTCCCCTCTCTCAGCCCCTCAGGCGGTGCCCTGACCCGCACGACCCGGCGCCGCAGGGCATACTGCCGGGCGCAGTTCGGCGCTGGGAGGCCGAGGC